CAAATAGTCGAATGAATAGGCTTTATTACAACGCATTGAGGGACAACCAGTTAGTGTAAATCTTCAACAAAAGTATTAGATGTGTGATACAATCTATTTTCAAACATCGTATTATATTACTCTTGATGTATATACATTGTGACAACCACATACTCCCTATTTCCTGACGACATTACGGATCATATTTTGTTGATCACGTTATTGACCCGCAAAATCGTGAAAATATCGTACCTGCGGAATTGTCCTGCTGTACGGTATTCCCAAAATTTTACAGGGGTTAGCAATTAGGCACATTTTGATCACCATGAGCCTCGACAATATTATTATTTGCTCATTAACAAATATTTTTGAACAACAACCCTCAACCCCGTCCATTTCATCATTTCTGGAACAGCATCCTGGTTTTTTGGTGGTTTTTTTTGTAAACGTCATGCAAAGCTTACATTGATTTCTACCCAGGTAATAAAAAAAATCAAGGAACGAATTAATTCTTTTATATTTGTATCATAGAGTTTTTTTTATTTGCAGAAAACTGAAGGAGAAACGTGGAATGTTCCCCTTGGCTCAGAGTCAGAATTATTATATCACGAAGGAGATGCAGATTCAGGAATAGGATGGTGCAGTTTGTCTTGACGTCCCTGAAGTAATAGGATGGTGCAGTTTGTCTGATTGCCTGTAGGAGTAGGATGGTGCTGTTTGTCTGACGTCCCTGAAGGAATAGGGTCAACTCTTCCAAACCTTGTAGTGCAACTCTGGGCAAACCTCACATTGAGGAATAATGGGCCATTTCATCAACCCTACGTGACTGGAGGAGTCGGACATTCATCATTCAGCACACATTACACCCACTGACAATGAGTTCACGGTCATTCTACATGTGGCCACCAGTTATTTTGTAGTTTATGCAGTACCAATGGTGACTTGTACGATCAGACAGCAGTAAGGCAATGTGATGTCCAGACAGCAGTAAATGTCAGTAAAGATAACACCTGTACCTTACTTCACTCATTACACCAGACAGTAGTAAATGTCAGTAAAGATAACACCTGTACCTTACTTCACTCATTACACCAGACAGCAGTAAATGTCAGTAAAGATAACACCTGTACCTTACTTCACTCATTACACCAGACAGCAGTAAATGTCAGTAAAGATAACACCTGTACCTTACTTCACTCATTACACCAGACAGCAGTAAATGTCAGTAAAGATAACACCTGTACCTTACTTCTCTCATTACACCAGACAGCAGTAAATGCCAGTAAAGATAACACCTGTACCTTACTTCTCTCATTACACCAGAATGTGTTGGTTGATTGTGTTCACTGATACTACCTGTTTTGTTTTAGTCTGTGCAGTATATGGATTGTATCAATTCAAGACAAAAACATAAAAGTCAAAAGGAACCAACAACAATCTCTTGTTATTCTTGAAATATTTCAAAAATCTGAACTATCATTTGAGCTCAGTTTCAGGTCATTTATTTAAGACTTGAAGCAATCTGGAATGGAAAACATACCTTTATCAAATTCTGTAGATCAGTACTCTTTGCTGAACATTTTCTGGCTCCTGCCCTTTCTTTTTTCTCACTGAAGAAAAGTCATCCTGATCTATGTTGTATCCATTTGAATCCTTTCTGTGCCCGTTACTATTTCAGACTTCATTTCATGTTGTTCAGTGACAGAGCTCCATACTTGTTGTGAGACAACGCCGTGTGGAGTGGGNGGGGGGGGTTGTAATTTAACCCTTAAATGATGACATTCAAAATACTTTGCACTACACATGGGATTCGGGTGCACAGCGAAATGTAGCCCCCGCAAATATTTTTTGAATACTTCACTGCGAAATATTGACGCCGCAAATTTAAAGCGCTATACAGTACCATAATTATGTCTGGGTCACCAACTTGTTATATGCTTGCTGTCAGTGGGTCAGGTTATGGTCCAACTTTCATCCACCTGTCATTGAACGTTTTGTTTCTATGCAATCAATTTACTATAAAAATTACTTTGAATTAGCATGAAACTTTGTCAACAACTTAAATACAAAAAAAACTGAAATTTCAGTGATACCTGCATACTATATACGACTTCCCTAACTACTGTTTCTAGGTACTGTAGTGAAAGTTGTCATTTCTTTCACTGGTCACCCTTGGGTTACCTATGTAACATATACAAGGTCATAGGTCAAGGTTAAAAGTCAAACTGCTGTTTCTCCGTACTCATTGAGGTTATATTGTGATGATTCATACTTTTGTCACGCTTTAGATGTCCACACAAAGTCAAGGTCATACAACAAAGTCAAAGGTCAAACTGCTATATAGCAGTGGACGTTTTGTTGTGTGGATCTTTCCTGTGACTAACTGGCAAATGTATACAGGATCTACTGAGTGGAATACTAGCTACGGGACACTGATTCTGAGACTTACTATCAAATCAATATTAAGAGCTTAAGGATCCTCGTACCACTCCTGGAAACTGTAACTAAGTATTGGAAACCTTTTTTTCGGTACAACTATAGCTTAGATAAATCATTTCTGAAAAGCAAACAATACCTTGCTGGACTTTTGTTAGAAATAAACAAAAGATATATCTGCAACAGTGATCTGAGTGTAATAAAAATCCAGCAGGCCCAGACCGAACCCTGGACTTCAGATTGTTATAATACATATCGTTCTAACCGATTAAGATACCTGGTCAACAGAAGTGGTCTAGCCAAACTGTGTTACAGTTACATCAAAACTGAAGTTACTGTATATAGAAAAAAACAGTGCGGCAGGGATCCTTAAAACTAGATAACAGAAAAAACACAGGGCAGTGGGGCAGGGATCCTTAAAACTAGATAACAGAAAAAAAGACAAACTAGAGATGGCAAGTTTTACAGAGGTTTACTCGGTAACAGCTCAAATATCACACAAATCTTCATGAACACCTCATCCACGGGATGTTTTCATCCCATATTTCACTCTCATTTTCACTCTCTCGTTAACTCGTGTCTCTGTCATGAACTTCCTATAACATCTTGGCAGAATGATATAAGACATATTCATTGTACATAACATACAATTGTATTTACAGCTCCACTATTAGTCTCTCTATAAACACTACCCAAAGAAACTGCATTCATTTGGTTATGAATGCAATGGGATCATTTTGAACATGACGGACACTTCAATGCTGCAAATATTCAGGAACATTTATATTTAATTCATTCATAACTTTATAAATTGAAAATACAAATACACATATTGAATGACACTTTTCCATGTTCATGCCGGTATGAATGCGAGTTGTGTACATTACATATACTCCATAGGCTTCGTGAAATAAGTACGTAATTAGCTTGCATTCATACCTGCATGAACATTGTAAAATGCTGTTCAATTCCAATTTAAAGGTACCTTGAAGAATTTTTAGCTTTGTTTATATATTAGTCCAATTCCTATTTTCTATATATATATATTTTTTTTAATTTCAATAAGTTTTAATTGTTTTTTCTTTATTTGAAGATAACATAGAACACACTTAAAGTCTATATGTTATCAGAGTTGTGGCTTATGTACTTTGATTTTCTTGGTGATTTGTTAATATGTCAATTGAAAGTCAGAAAGCACAAATTAAAGAATATTTCTCTTACAAATATATCTGAGCATCAACGTATTCAATTAAAAAATCAATCCTCACAAGCAATCTGCATGCACTATTCTGTCTTTTCGTATTACAGAGTTATCTTCTCTTGTGAGTAGGTATTGATTGTTACGTCATTAGTTTGAGAGGGTAACGTGATCAATTTTTGAGAAAACAACATAATTTTCTCACATAAACCTATGACGTAACAATCAATACCTGCTCACAAGAGAAGATACCTCTGCAATACGCAAAGACGTAATATCAGAATTTACTACAGGGAATACTTTGTTGGTGTTTTTCAATTTGCATTTTCTAACACTTATATATCATTTGAACACCAGTCTAATACAGGCATTCAGTGTCAACCTCACAACTTACAAACCCTTCGTCAAAAAATGCACAATTATTTAGTACTTAAATACTTTTCAGTCACAATTCCTCGTTTGAAAAAAAATAAGATTTGGACATACAGGAAGTTATATTCCCAGAAACAATACTGTATACCAGGAAATGTTCGCCGGAGTTCAATTTTCGCCATTTTCATCCTCTGCATTAAGGGCGAATTTATCATGACAGTGAATATTACCCTATATAGTAGTGACATGTGAAGGGTGAAATTTACCCTGGAAGGAAATAGATTTACCAGCGAAAGGCCAATATTTAACTGGGCGAAAGTTTCCCCGTATACAGTAATGCAGTAGTTACAAGGATCCACTGTCTCACGGCGTTCTGTTAAGCAGATTTGTCGACATCTTGTTGTGACGCCCTATAGCATCGGTTTACATCAGATATGCTGGTGTCACAGTAGTCAGCCAGAACATATTACTGAATCTGGATTCTCAGACAGGTTGTTCACTTAAGTATTTTTCTTAGTTCATTCTAAACATCAGTGCTCCGATATCCTTAGCCTCTTCTTCCAAAACCATCTTGGCATGATTTTCACATTTGTTGGAGCATCGTAATTTAGAAACACCATGGTGTGCAGAAGCATATTTATATTTGCACCTGTAAATTGAAAAGTATTTTGAAATTAATTGCGCATTTATATTCGACATTTACTTTGGCATGTTTAAGGCATTAACAGAGAACATACCAAATGATATCTCTTTTAGTGTAGAATGAAAATTTTGCATGTATCGTTTTCCCCCTTGAACATGACGGCAAATTTAATGTCACAACAAAATACTGGTACATTCGAATTCTGTTGTGTTTATTTAATGAAACTTGATTTGTTTTAAAACAATTATGAAAAGCTAGAAAACGTCTGTAAAACCTTGAAATCCTGAAAGTGAAATATGAGGTCATCCAAGGTATTGTCATACCCAGACCTTCATATAAACATTGTAGAAAATCTGTTAGTCATAACAAAGAATCATTAGGGGAAAGGACAGACATGATATTCCGTTTTTCATATTGCAGAGTTATCTGCTCTTGTGAGCAGGTATTGATTGTTACGTCATTGGTTTGTGAGAGTAACGTCGTCAATTTTTGAGAAAACGACATAGTTTTCTCACACAAACTAATGACGTAACAATCAATACCTGCTCACAAGAGCAGATAATTCTGAGATACGAAAAGACGGAATACCTGGTACATCATATCCTCCCTCCCCCATGCAACCCCAACCAAAAGGGAGGTTATCCTTCAGTTTTATCATGACATATTGCATGTGTTTAGAGAAGATCTGCATATCCACAGCGAACCCTTGGAATTTCAAGATTGTTTACAGAAGATGATGACAGACAAAAGTGACTCACTTCACCTAAAAAGCTGGTAGCGGTAAACTTATTATTAGAAGTAGGTGTATACTTACTATTAGATAGTGGTATACTTACTATTAGATAGTGGTATACTTACTTATTAGATAGTGGTATACTTACTTATTAGATAGTGGTATACTAACTATTAGATAGTGGTATACTTACTTATTAGATAGTGGTATACTTACTATTAGATAGTGGTATACTTACTATTAGTATGTAGGCTAACCTCAAGCCACTCCTTCATGAAATCCTCCTGCTCCTCCCGTGTCAGACCATCAGCATTCAACCCTCGCACATAACATGCCTGTAAACAGTGCAATGTCACAAATAACATGACAAGTTTTGGAACAAAATTAAGTACAGCACGCTTGTAAACTTTCATGTCTATCAATCCAATGCAGTGTTTTAATCCCCTTTGTGTGTGCTCGGACACAAATAAACTTCTGAGATGAGATTTCCATTTAATCTCTCAAATAATGACACTTGCAATAAGACCATGTCTAGATCTTTAATAGTCGTCCATAGTTTCTATATCATGTTCTTCGATCTAGCATAATGCTCTCAATTGCAATGTCAAACGACATGGTTGCTGACAATCGTTTAAGTGCAACAGGTGACCTTTTTTGTGAATATAATTAGTACTTTGTGTATGCCGTCATCAAAATCACTTGATAGACTGTAAACACAAACCAATAAATAAAGGATGTAGGAAAAGCAAACATTCTCCTTCCTATGAGAATGGTCTTAAACTCTAAATTGGACCTAATAGACAACGGCTACGTACCGTTTGTAGTTCCCTGTCTGTAAGAGCATCTAAGCCTTCCTTCACTATACACATATCTGTGTAGTGCACTGCCATGATCTGGTTGTACACCTTCATACGGTTCCTGCCCATTCCAAACGAATTTGCCAACTGCCACTGGAAAGGAAAATAATTAATTTTATAAATGAGGTCTCTAGAGCAGTGCACTAAAGGGCAATAAATCCTGTAAAACTGTACAAATTAAATAACAGAAAAGCTGATTGAAACACAAACAAAATATCTGTGTTTTGAACATCAGTACAAAATTTTGTGTACGACAAATAGGAAACTCAGTCTGTGGAGTGATAATACTGTTGAATCATTTATTTTCGTGGGGTTAAAATTTTGTGGTTTTCATATACTAGCCTGTTTCAAGGATATCATATGTTGCTGATTTCTGATTTTCCCCTATCTATATCATACCAAATTTATGTTTTCGTGGGGTTTTAATTTTGCGTTTTTTTGTTACCCACGAAATATTTATGATTTTACAGTACCGGAAGTACAAACAACAGGGGCAGAATGATATATTCCCATCACACAACTTAATGGATTCAATTAAATATACTCCCATCACACAACTTAATGGATTCAATTAAAAACATTGCGAGTCATATTTGATTTAAGTTATTGTGTGGAAACTGTTGACCAATGACAGTGTAGTATGCTTATTTAATATGCACAGATTTTGCTAAATTTCAAACTTACTCTTAGCCTCGTTTCAGTAAATTTCAAAACATTTTCGTCACGTTTGTAAGAAAAGTTTGTTTAAAAGCTTGTATAGCACTATCAGTAAAATGTCTATGTATGACATTTCTCTGTCTAGCCCTATATGTACTCTGATCACCTTATTGTGAAACAGAAAAATGACCAGTAAAGCATTAAGTACACTAAGATGTAAAGTACATTTTGTGTATATACCTAGCAATAAATCGCTGTAGGTTCAACTATGCTATAACCTTATGTACTTTTATTTGTTATAAGTGTATGAATTGACAAATCAATTTGGCTACGCTTTGTTTAATACCTACTCCAGTCTACAGACTTAGTAGGGTGAATAGTGAGTGACCAATTCCTTCACTATATAAGTACTCGGGTAAATGAAGAACACTATGATCATTATTTTTGTGTGTAGATTAGGCCTTCATCAAACACGCAGGGGCTGTTTTCGTTTATTGCGATCCAAACAGTTGAACCGGTTGGACCACAGTTGTTCGTTTATTAAATAAGGTTGGACCCAGTAATCTGATGCTGTTTTCAGGTGAGCCTTAACAAAGCCAAGTTGCAGGGCCTGCACAAACTTTTGCAGGTCCGCCAGGATTTAAACCCGAAAATGTTATGTTTAAAAACGGACGTACCGGTTGTTCTGGATAAACGAAAAGGCCCCTGGCTTCTTATATGGAAATAAAAATCAAAAGTTTGTGTATTTTAGTGTGGAGTGGAATCTGAAATGAGAAAATCAGAAGTCATACTTTACCGAGTAAAGCTTTGATCTTGTGTTCCAAAAACTGTTCTCAGAGTGGTCAATAGAAAATCCTCGTGCAGTTGGTACAATTTCAAACGCATATATTTCACAACCTTCTTCAGTCTGCAAAATTAACAAAATATAAAATCAGTTGAAAAGTTTCAAGACATTTGTTACAAATCATGTGGAAATGTTGATTCATGTTTGTGTTAATATACAAATTTCCTCATTTTTGCCTTTATAAGAATCATCACCTTGTCCGCTCCTATAGTTTATCAGACTTGCTAAAATTATGGAAGTTATTACTGCCATTTCACCTTTTTTTGACATGTACATATTCCGTCTTTGCGTATTGCAGAGTTATCTTCTCTTGAGAGCAGGTATTGATTGTTACGTCATTTGTTTGTGAGAGTAACATCATCAAACGACGTAATTTTCTTACACGAACCAATGATGTAACAATCAATTCCTGCTCTCAAGAGAAGATAACTCTGCAATACGCAGAGACAGAATAGGATCTTACATGAGTTTTCATTTCAAATGAGATTTACGAAACGAGTCTTAAGAATTTTTCAATTTAGCGAGTCTCTGGCGAGCTATAATGAAAAATTCATGACAAGTTTCATAAATTTCATTTGAAATGAAAACGAGTGTGAGATCCTTGTTATCACATAATTAAGATTTGTGGCATTTATGAGTGTAAAACAGCAATTTTCATGCATCCTTGAAATGTAAAAGCTGCCATTTTGACCCAGTGCCTAAGTCTGTAACGTCATGTACTTGTCCTAGGCGTGACGTCACAATGGAAACAATTGAAACTTACAATTAAACACAGGGCTGATTGGTCATATTACATGGGTTAATATGCAAAAAATATATATTCACTTGATAACACAGTACATTATGTGATAAATATATTTTCCATAATTTATAGATCCCTGTACCCCACTGCACTGACATTTTCGCTATATACAGTAACCTCTCATTAACTTTCGTTTCAATATAACTATAGCACATGTGGGCACGTACACTTCTGTTGACCAGATAGCTCAATCAGATACAGCAAGAGTATAACCATCAGAAGTCCAGGGTTTGTGTGCAGGTCTACGCTCCCTAAATACTGGACATGCAGAACACTCTCACAGCAAGAGTATAACCATCAGAAGTCCAGGGTTTGTGTGCAGGTCTAGGCTCCCTAAATACTGGACATGCAGAACACTCTCACAGCAAGAGTATAACCATCAGAAGTCCAGGGTTTGTGTGCAGGTCTAGGCTCCCTAAATACTGGACATGCAGAACACTCTCACAGCAAGAGTATAACCATCAGAAGTCCAGGGTTTGTGTGCAGGTCTAGGCTCCCTAAATACTGGACATGCAGAACACTCTCACAGCAAGAGTATAACCATCAGAAGTCCAGGGTTTGTGTGCGGGTCTAGGCTCCCTAAATACTGGACATGCAGAACACTCTCACAGCAAGAGTATAACCATCAGAAGTCCAGGGTTTGTGTGCGGGTCTAGGCTCCCTAAATACTGGACATGCAGAACACTCTCACAGCAAGAGTATAACCATCAGAAGTCCAGGGTTTGTGTGCGGGTCTAGGCTCCCTAAATACTGGACATGCAGAACACTCTCACAGCAAGAGTATAACCATCAGAAGTCCAGGGTTTGTGTGCGGGTCTAGGCTCCCTAAATACTGGACATGCAGAACACTCTCACAGCAAGAGTATAACCATCAGAAGTCCAGGGTTTGTGTGCGGGTCTAGGCTCCCTAAATACTGGACATGCAGAACACTCTCACAGCAAGAGTATAACCATCAGAAGTCCAGGGTTTGTGTGCGGGTCTAGGCTCCCTAAATACTGGACATGCAGAACACTCTCACAGCAAGAGTATAACCATCAGAAGTCCAGGGTTTGTGTGCGGGTCTAGGCTCCCTAAATACTGGACATGCAGAACACTCTCACAGCAAGAGTATAACCATCAGAAGTCCAGGGTTTGTGTGCGGGTCTAGGCTCCCTAAATACTGGACATGCAGAACACTCTCACAGCAAGAGTATAACCATCAGAAGTCCAGGGTTTGTGTGCGGGTCTAGGCTCCCTAAATACTGGACATGCAGAACACTCTCACAGCAAGAGTATAACCATCAGAAGTCCAGGGTTTGTGTGCGGGTCTAGGCTCCCTAAATACTGGACATGCAGAACACTCTCACAGCAAGAGTATAACCATCAGAAGTCCAGGGTTTGTGTGCGGGTCTAGGCTCCCTAAATACTGGACATGCAGAACACTCTCACAGCAAGAGTATAACCATCAGAAGTCCAGGGTTTGTGTGCGGGTCTAGGCTCCCTAAATACTGGACATGCAGAACACTCTCACAGCAAGAGTATAACCATCAGAAGTCCAGGGTTTGTGTGCGGGTCTAGGCTCCCTAAATACTGGACATGCAGAACACTCTCACAGCAAGAGTATAACCATCAGAAGTCCAGGGTTTGTGTGCGGGTCTACGCTCCCTAAATACTGGACATGCAGAACACTCTCACAGCAAGAGTATAACCATCAGAAGTCCAGGGTTTGTGTGCGGGTCTAGGCTCCCTAAATACTGGACATGCAGAACACTCTCACAGCAAGAGTATAACCATCAGAAGTCCAGGGTTTGTGTGCGGGTCTACGCTCCCTAAATACTGGACATGCAGAACACTCTCACAGCAAGAGTATAACCATCAGAAGTCCAGGGTTTGTGTGCGGGTCTAGGCTCCCTAAATACTGGACATGCAGAACACTCTCACAGCAAGAGTATAACCATCAGAAGTCCAGGGTTTGTGTGCGGGTCTAGGCTCCCTAAATACTGGACATGCAGAACACTCTCACAGCAAGAGTATAACCATCAGAAGTCCAGGGTTTGTGTGCGGGTCTAGGCTCCCTAAATACTGGACATGCAGAACACTCTCACAGCAAGAGTATAACCATCAGAAGTCCAGGGTTTGTGTGCGGGTCTACGCTCCCTAAATACTGGACATGCAAAACACACTTGTTGATTGAAGTTTATTTATTTCATCTTTATTATTATTTTCATAAAAATCCTGCAAGGTATGATTTTCTTTTCAGAAAAGATTAATATATTGATGCCATTATCATCACTGGTGTTTTTTTGTTATACCTTTATAATGAGAGATTTTGAGGTATTTTGTTAATAACTTTATAATGAGAGACTTGGGGGGCGTTTTCTTCATACCTTTATAATGAGATATTTTGGGGTATTTTGTTCATAACTTTATAATGATATACTTTGCGGTATTTTGTTCATAACTTTATAATGAGAGACTTGGGGGGTGTTTTGTTCATACCTTTATAATGATATACTTTGAGGTATTTTGTTCATAACTTTATAATGAGAGACTTGGGGGGCGTTTTGTTCATACCTATATAATGATATGCTTTGAGGTATTTTGTTCATAACTTTATAATGAGAGACTTGGGGGGCGTTTTGTTCATACCTATATAATGATATGCTTTGAGGTATTTTGTTCATAACTTTATAATGAGAGACTTGGGGGTGTTTTGTTTATACCTTTATAATGATATACTTTGAGGTGTTTTCTTCATACCTTTATAATGATAGACTTGGGGGTGTTTTGTTTATACCTTTATAATGATATACTTGGGGGTGTTTTGTTTATACCTTTATAATGATATACTTGGGGGTGTTTTGTTCATACCTTTATAATGATATACTTTGAGGTGTTTTCTTCATACCTTTATAATGATAGACTTGAGTGCGTTATAAGCTTCCTGTTGGTCGGATATCAATCTGATCTGTATCTTTAGACAGTCCATCACATTAGGAAAGCAATGCAGTCTCCAGTAGAGTTTCCTGGTGTTCACCTCCCGTAGCTGCTGGTCCGTTAGGAAGTGGCTTGATAGAGTGTACTTAGGGAACATAAACCTAGAATAGGAAAACATCAGCTATTTGTTTGTAAAGGTCTTCTGTAAACATCTTTATTTCATAGGTTACTAAGATATTATAGCCCTTTTCTTGGGAAACTGATCATTTATTGTTAGCTCACCTACCAAAGGGCCTAGGGTGATGATATTTGGTCAGTAATATGCTGTGATGAAGGGCTACCAAGTTTGTTCAAATAAATGACCTTCATCCATTTTCAAGGTCACAGGGGTCAAATATGTTAAAATCTTTAAACAACTTCTTCTGAATAACCAAGAGGCCTAGGGTGATGATATTTTGCCAGTAACATCCTGGGATGAAGGGCTACCAAGTTGGTTCAAATGAATGACCTTCGCCCATATTCAAGGTCAGTGGTCAATATATGTTTAAATCTTTAAATGATTTGTTCTGTATAACCAAAAAGTCCAGGGTAATGATATTTTGCTAGAAGCATGCTGGGTTGGAAGACTATATAAACTCTGTTCAACCTAATGTCCTTGTTCGACATTCAAGGTCACAGGCATCATATGTTTAAATCTTTTAATAGAACCTTATTAATCAAACACTGATATTCTGCCTGTAGTTGTATTTTAGTCCACTTTTAAGATTACAAGTGTAAGATTAGTACCGGGTGAGCGATTCAGGCCAATTGGGCCTCTTGAGTTGAATAATGAAGTTTTGTGACTGAGACTTCAGACAAATGTACACTACCTTCTAAAACAACATTAACATGAGCAGTGATTTTTCTATCATTTTTTTCAGTTTCCAATGTTTAATACATAACATATCACAAACGAAATACTTTTTTTAAATCATGCTCAGTTTTGGTGTTAGAAGCAAACTGTAATTTCCAGAGAAAAGCCACCGACCCGCAACCAGTACTTGGCAACTGCCGCACATAGGCCTTGAACCTGTGACCCGGTGATGGAGCGCTAGTGATTGTAGATGATCTAACACCTTAACTACTTGACCATTAAGAAGAATAAAAAATAGATAATAAACACTTACATCATTGGAAGAAAAAAAAATCCCATCGGTGCAGCGCACAGCACGATTAATGGCGCTGCTTTCTTCATTTCCCGAGGTAACTGCAAATAAATTATTAAAAATTAGTAAGTTTCAAATACTTCAATTTTGGTTTAAAAATAGATAGATTCTATGATATACAGGCCGGTGATTTTTTATAATTTGGGGTAAAGCCTTTTTTTCTCTAGAATTGAAATGATATTTTCCCAAAGACAAAGCCCAGGAATCAAAATTACATTTCCCAGATATCAACCACGTCGCTCAAATAAGGTAGAAAAAGACAACACTCTTTAGAAAATCAAATATGCTATGAATGTACCTGTTTCATTCCGACAGAATTAGATATATGTTTTGAATGTTTTGATATTGTGCTCCTGAAAGTAAACGATTTTTAGCTCACCTGGTCCGAAGGACCAAGGTGAGCTTATGCCATACCGCAGCGTCCGTCGTCCGTCATCCTGCGTCCGTCGTCTGTCAACTTTACACTACTAGTCATGAACCACTGAGCGGATTTTAACAAAATTTGGTGTGGAGCATACTTGGGTGAAGAAGAACCAATTTTGTATAAATGGTGGGTCTGGCCCCCCAGGGGCCTGAGGGGCGGGGCCAAATAGGGGAAATATAGCAAATTCTTTACAATCCTTCTTCTTCTGTAGGAATAAAAGGATTTGTTCCATATTTGGTCTGAAGCATCCTTGGGGGAAGGGGAACAAAGATTGTATAAATGGTGGGTCTAGCCCCCTGGGGGCTGAGGGGCGGGGCCCAATAGGGGAAATATAGCAAATTCTTTACAATCCTTCTTCTTCTGTAGGAATGGAAGGATTTGTTCCATATTTTGTCTGAAGCATCCTTGGGTGAAAGGGAACCAATTTTGTATAAACCGTGGATCTGGCCCCCAGGTGCCTGAGGGGCGGGGCCCAATAGGGGAAATATAGCAAATTATTCTTTAAAATCCTTCTTCTTCTGTAGGAATGAAAGGATTTGGTCCATATTTGGTCAGAAGCATCCTTGGGCGAAGGGGAACAAAGTTTGTATAAATGGTGGGTCTGGC